ACTGCCAACCAAAAATCCCCCCCCCCAATTTCTCTTTTCCGCCTTTTCTGTTTTTTATTTTTTATAATTCTAAAAACTTATCTGTTTCCAAAAAAAAAAAAATGGGGTTGTAGGGATTAAAAATCCCCACAACCCCATATATATATATATATGTATTGTGACGATATATATATATATATATATTTACCCATGATTTAATTTAGGAAAAATGTGGTAAATTCGCGTCTGCGGCGCGGACGCGGCCGTACATACGGCCGCCATCCGACCTCGACCCCGCGGACGCGTCCACAGGTGTTTCATAGCGAGCTGCCCCCATCCCTATATGCCATAACAGCCCACTTGCACGCTATGGGAAAGAGGCAGAGTGAAGGAAGAGGTGTTAAACACAAGGAAGAGAGGAGCAGAAAAGGAAAACCGATAGGCAGAGGGAGAAAAAAWAAAAAAAGTGACCCAAACATCTTCTTTCTTTCACTGCATTCTTCTTTCTTTGACAGTTTTGCAGTTTTGGTGAAGAGTCCACCACGTTCGCTTTTCAGCACACCTGCACTTCTTCATTTTTCATCTTCATTTTCACCCTTCGGACTTTTCTTTTGAGGGTGTTAGGGTGTAGGGTACAAACAAAGTAAGATGACACAAACTTATGTTCTTCTATTACTGTATTCTTCACAGTTTTGCAGTTTTAGTGAAGGGTACCCCACCTTTGCACATTCTTGTACACTCTTTTCAGCGCACCTGCACATTTTTATCAGGGTGCAAGGTACGTCTAAGTAAGACCCTCAGGACAGATAGGACAAATGTCATAAGGATGGGGGCGATGGTAGCTTCCCTCCCGTTGATCTATACGACGAAAACCATTCAGGTAAGCAACTTCGTCACATCAGGAGCCAGAGCGGCTAGCATTACCCATACCTCTGAAGCATCCACGACAGAGGGCATGCCGGTTGCAGGCCATGGCGATTGTGGGGCATTCACCATGATCACAGTTAAGTGCACATTCACTATAGCGTCTGTAGGCACAGATGGGACATACTGCATCTGGATGTAGAGGATGTTCACAATCCGGATACAGGTGGCATCCCTGCTTACAGCGGGTCCGAAATATATATATATACAGGGTAACCTGACCGAACGTTAGGGCGTTCGGGGTCCCGTTCGGGGGCCGAACACCTCCAGGTTCGGCCCCCGCCAAAAACATTTTCGGGGCCTAAGAATACGTTTTTTCTCTGCATTTTTTTTTGTGAGTTCTATATGATGTAGCCTACACGCCTATAAATTTTGACCGCATTTTGCTAAGCCAAAAAAAACATTAAAAATCATCAAAGATGGGGGTGTCCAAACGTCCTCGACCACTCCATATTCTGTTTTTTTTTCAGGGCATTTGTCAACGCCAAAAAATAATTAAAAATCGGCAAAGATGGCGGTGTCGAAAAGGTGCTGGCACACTCACTCATTTTAATTCTCTTTTTATTTTTTCTTACTTTTATCACAGTGTTTATTTTCTGTATTTGATTTATAATTCAAATTT